TTTCATCAAACATCTTAGCCCTTCCCACGTCCACTGTCTGATTAAGTTATCTGTACATCAAACATAAGCTCAGGTTCAACAACTTCGAACCCTCCGTCCCATTAATATTTGGGTATGTGAATGAGGTCTGCAGAAGGGATGCAGCTGGGCAGATGGCCCATGCACACCATAATACTGTATTAATTTTACCAATATAAAAAAAATATATTTTTACCCCAAATTCCACAGAAAGTAAACATCCAGCAAGCTTTAAACAGTTTAACTTTCACAATTCTCAACTTTGAGTGCCTGCTACAAACCCCAGAACCTATTTTTACGGGCAGCAATTACCGTCCATCTCCGACTGATTGTGATTTTTTTATTAATTGGTGAATGGGACGGCCATACGTGCTTGGGAAACTTAGGGGGGCGAGTCAGTCAGGAAGCAAGTGGGTCAGGGGGTGAGTTGGCTAGGGGGCGAGTTGGCTAGGGGGCGAGTTGGCAAGGGGCGCGTCGGTCAGGGGGGCAAGTTAATAAGGGGCGAGTCGGCCGGGTGCGAGTTGACCTACAATCGATTTCTCCATCTGCATGCACATTACTGAAGCCTTTGAAACAAAAACTTGATGCCCAAAGTGCACAATAACAAATAAAAACAAATCATCAAATACTTTACTCTGGGCTTAACTCAAGAAAAATTTAGCATGCTTCTTTTAAAAATGACTTGGCTTGGCATGCAAGTGCCAGTTATACTGTACCTTGAACAGTTAGGTGTGGGGCTAACCTGAGTTTGGCTTCACTGTAATACATGGGACACTTTCCAGCAAAACCTACCACTTGTTATCATATTCTATTGTGCTATGGCAGGCTAGAAGGCTAAAATTGGCCTCGTGGATCAGTTTCTTTGAAGTAGTTTTGAAAAGTCATTTTAGATGAATAGTAGTTCCAAAATCATGGCAAGGTATAAGCAATTCCGACTGCAATTCGTGGTCACTCTTACAGATTTTAATCACATCGACACAATATATTCCATAAAGTGTCTAATTTTGCCTGCATCAGTCAAACTGGTACATCATCACACATCCTGAGAAATGTCTGACATGAAGTGCAATGTTGCCCTAACCTGTGCTGTGCAGGGCAGGTTGAAGTCCTGTATTTCGGCGCAATCACCGATGGCATAGACGCTGCCGCTGTCATCATCCAAGATTCTCAGGTACTCATTGGTGAGTATCTGACCATGATTATTCTTTGCAAATGGAAGCTCCTTTACAAACGGTCTGAGGGTTTTAAAAACAAACAAGACTAACCTGTCTGCAGAAACAGAATTCTTGAAACTATTCACGCATGTACCAAACCATGTTCCCTCTAAGTGATTAGTTTTTAGTGAAAATCATTAGTCACACTTTGATGAATCAAACCATTATATGATATTTACTTGAAAATTAGATCTTTGTAATATTTTCAGATCATAAATTTTTAATTCACGAGTTATGGCTACAGAATTTTCTAGACACAAAAGATAACGAGGTTAATCTGTCAAATTACCAAAGTTCTCCGTAATCGACATGAAAGTCAATATAGAGTTGACAAACCTTGGTGAAAGTCCAGTTGACCACACCACCAACTCGCTGGACAGGTTGCGGCCATTACTAAGGGTCACTCCATCTGCCCTGACCTCTGTCACGTTGGCCGTGATCAGCTCCATCTGCTGGCGGTTGCGAATCTTGATCTCGGCATACTCTTGCTGCTTGGGGGTGAAGGAAGACAGAATCTGGCGCCCCTCAATGAGGGAGACACAGATGAGGCCTTGCTCCTCCTTGTAAAGACGAGACACATCCTGGCAGGATGTTACACCGAAAAGATGAAAGATTCACAGTGTTAACAAACTGTAAAATCTTAGATGAAATTTCCAACAGTGTTCATCAAACTCCAACATACCTCCCTAACAAAGTCATACAGCTCTGCCCCAAACTCCACCCCTGTCGGTCCCCCACCTACGATGACAATATGGAGTAGTTTTTCCCTCTCTGCTTGTGAGATGCTGGGATGTAGAGCACATTCAAAGTTGTTCAGGATGCGATTTCTGATGGCTCGGGCATCGCTCACTTCCTGCATGATCAAACAGCACACAACTCTTTGAAACCAACTTCGACCAGTCAGAAAGAGTCTGTTAATTTTGCAACTGGGTTTACCCAAAAAAAGGTGTTTTGGGAACCTTCTGGAATGTGGGGAATGGACAGAGAAACTTCCCCCTTCAAACTCAGCTGTCTCATGACCATCCTCTTTGACATTAGAGAGTCAGGTTGGCATAGTGTGGGGGGTTAGGTTGGCGTAGTGTTTCTTTCCTCACCTTCCACCTCTAAGGGCCTAGGTTTGAATCCGGCTGTGGATTGTGTTTTCAGTCCCTAACTGAGTCTGTGCGTTTTCCCCGAAACATTTATCTGGGCTTTTCCTCCCAACTCTAGAACCGAATATGTCTTCATTGTCTTCTTCACTCATTATCATCCTGTAATTGGTGCTAAATGCACTGTTGGATGAACAGATACAAATAAATAATCTCAGCACGCATGTAACGACACCCATTATGAGAACATGGGTGTACATCTGTAAAGTTACGCTTCACCTCAATGGGATTGGTTTCTGTGGTTACCCTCATAGCTCATGTGGTCATGCATGTAAGCTATGCTTTAAGCTTGTCACTGGTAACATTAACAAATTTTGGCTGACCTGTCTTGGAAAACTTTAGCATTTAAGAGAACAGTATGTCTGACTCAAACAATTTGTGTCAAAGGACCACAAGATATAAGTGAAAACACCCAAAGCCTCAGTTTAAAAAAAAGGAAAAAAAACAAACCCACTTTGACAACATCCAAGCAAATGTACAGAGGGAATTCTGCTTCCTCCCCTAGCTCTTTGAGGGCTAAAGAGATTAATCACAGCAGTCTATGGTACCTGCTCTGACTGCCACACTGTTAGACATTTCTGACAATAACAGCAACCTTACCTTGAGGAAGAATGCATGTTCCATCACCCCAGGGATACCAAAAGTGTTACTGACAGCACCCACCCCGATAACTAGCTTGTCATAGCTGAGGGGATAGGTCATGTCTGGTTTGATAACACTCTGACAATAAAGCTCCTGCAATGACCAGATAGAAGAAAGTGTTGGGAAATGTCTCTGGTATGTTCATATAATGCTTGGTCATTTGACACTAGTTTTTTTGTAAGCAGCATGGGATCAGTCCAACTGTTGGGATTCTGGCTTGTTCCTGAATCAAGGTGAAATATAAAACATCTAGAAAAACGAACCAGATGGCATTTTTTCTTTTGATGTTTGAACAGTTAACCACTTGCCACAATGAACTTCCACTATGATCTTGTCCCCAGCATGGTGTTATTTTTGGCCAGCATATGCTGACCTTTTAAAATGGTAACATATAACCATAGTCCTTTGAAAGTTGGACTTCACAACTGCTGACCTTTGGTGGTCAACTGTTAAAGATTTATGCGACATTTCTCAATGCACTGTATTGTAATCTCTGAGATAATTCATTTGAGAAATATTTGCTTCAATGTCTGGCAGTGACCTATGACCACATGAGAGCTCCACAAGCACAAAATTTTCACTGACTAGTCAAAGCTTGTGTCCTGTGTATGTACAAACTCAATGGGAATTGTTCAAGAGTGGGGCAGAGTACAGACATCTCCCAGTACTGATCACAGAATTCACCAGAGCCTGTTTAAATGTCCTCCGCATCATAACACAGGAAGTGCACAGTGGCTTTGCAAAGATCTCATGAGTTAGTACACTGCTTGAGCTGTGACATACCTTTTTGTCCACATCAAGACCAACAGCTTCACTCAAATGAAAATGATCAGTTTTCCTGAAGCCTGTGTTCCTTACTGGCTCAATGATACTCCTACCAATGTAACAATGATCAAATGGACACATTATCTACATGTACATAGCTGGGATACAAACGGATTTTCAGCCTGAAGATATCACAAGTTATTTAACATACGTGTTCTTCACACAACTGCGTAGCAGACAGCTTGCACCAAAATCAACGCATTTTCCATGAAACTCTTTGATCTCATTTGTTCACATTTTGAATGAACCAGCAAGAAGATTTTGAACAAAAAGTTGCACCCTGGGGTACTTTTCACTAAGTGTGCTATCAAAATACAACACAGCCCCAACCAGCACTAACCTGAATTCAAGAGTTCCGACAGTTGTGCTCGCCAGCAGAGGGGTGAACAAGAAATGGTTGCGCGGACTGACCACGATGACATCGTACAGCGTCTTGTTGATGTTCTTCAGGACACTGTAGCTGCTCCAACCGGTCCCTAAAATCACTAGCTTCTGTCTTTCCGAAACCCCACTTACAGATGACGCTGACTGACTTGCGTATCTGTAAATGACATGCCTTGCGATGATTTTGACGGGATGCTGAAGACGATGAGATGAGGAAGGAAGTGCCACTGATGAGAAGAGTCTCACTTTCAACCGCTGTCCTCTCATTTTGATTTATTGGATATTAAACTGTCAACATCCACAAATCAGCATTTTCAAAACGTTGGCTTAAATGCATCCACTTCCCAATTTCCAACTGCATGACACTGATACATCCTTTAGAAAACAAGAAAGAAATAAATATAAAGTGTTATAAAATGGGCAATAAGATGTACCAGATCTTAATATCATGCTCTTGTATACTAGGAATGATAAAATTGAAAGACTTGATTTGAACTGTGGCTGTTATATGTAGATATTTGTTGTATCCTTTGTCAATTCACTGACATGATTAAATAATTCACTGACATAATGTCAGCATGGCCATGGACTGGCCCATGCTTTGCTGCAGAAACACGGCTACAGTGGAGGTCAGCACACTCCAAGAAATGCCAAGCTAATGCAGGTGGCACCCTCCAATTCATTGTGTTTGGAGTCTTCATTGAATTGGTATGGCATCCTTCATAGCCTCTATGGTTTTGGTGTATATCTGGCTGACTATCTGAGCTCACTTCAACTTACTCCAAGAGCAAGTAATACAGCAGGAGTTGAACATTAAATTTTATAATCATTGATAATCATGTAATCTGTGGACTGATCATATTAGGAAAGGAAGGCACTTCAATACAAATTTTATTTGAAATCAGGCTCTTCATTAATAAATAATATTGGACAACAGATTGTAACCAGGTACTAGGTAAAGATGTGTTCTACTGTATGTGTTTTAAATGCAAACGCATATCATTTTTAGTCATTTAGTTTTGTCTTTTCATGTCCTTGTTATGTATTTAAAAAAATACTAAATTGAACTTAGATGTAATAATGTCTTTGAATCCCTTCATCTTTGAAAGATCACCTAAATTTCAACATGTTCACATTATTTTAATAATACACCAGAATATTCATAATAATAAAAATATTTGATAACCGCAATGGGTCATTAGGGAGACATTCCCATAAGAACGTGCACAAAATTTTTCCAACTGTACTGTCCCATAATTCAATATTCCCTAATCCGATCTTAACCAAACTGTGCATGCTCATTTTAGACCCTAATCTATCATCTCTCAAAATTTGGACAGTAAAATTCGGCCTCCTCCTAGTAGTTGGAGCATGACCAGGTTGAAAAATTACCACAAAGTGTCTCCCAAATGACCTACAGTGTATTTGTGATAATACATGTACTTCCAAGTCCAAAATACTCGACATTTGAAACAAACACAGTGGCATTGGCAAGGCCCCTCTTCTTGTTGATGATATAGTTACTATCAGCTGCCTTTCATCTGACCACAATGTGACATGTACAAAGAAATCCAAGGGTCATAATTGCCATGTGTAGGCCTAAATGTGTAAGGCCTACATGGTTTCATGCTTTACGACTAGTAGATATCTGTTCATTCATCCCCTATTAATTACGGCTTGCGGGCAAACTGCAAAGTCATTTTGTCTTTCCCAACTATATGTATCACTATCAGACTACAACTTGTTTTTTTTTTTTTAGAGTTTTGCATATTACTATTACAAAGCAACTCCCATACCAGTTGGCTTTCTTTTCTCTCCCGTAGGCCCACGTGTGCATGTTGCTCTTCCGGCATGCATGTCTTTAGCAATTCGTGACCTTTGACCCTGTTGACATTCTGTACTAGTCTTCCTACGGGCCTTCACCGCTGCATGGTATGTCGTTTACGCACCACTAGCTAGCGTCAATAGTAATAATGCCTGATGAAAAAGACTAGGACAACGAGACGTCATTCATATTGGTAGAGAAGAATCGATGACGTATACACAACCGCATGAGTCGAATTTGACAGTTTTCCTCTGTTTTTTCAGAATTTAGTGATTATCTTACGTCTCTCAAGACCAAGGATTTGACGAACATGTCTTTCCATATGGTATGAAAACCAAAGATAACTCAGTGATTTTTTTCTAGTTGGAACTTGGAGATCTCGATGAAAAGAGTTTGGTAAACTGCAAAAATACTAACGTGTCCAGTTTCCGGACACTTCATGTTACATAAGTCACTGCAGCATTTCAACATTAGGGTCGTCCTAAATTTTCAACATTTTCACAGTAGTACACAGAGTACTATTTTGAAGGCCCCCACCCCCAAATTAGTACTTACATGTATCAACTTTTTTCTATCAATATCCTGAAATATCGACAAATCACATTTCACATATAGGCCTAGGCATACTAGGCTAATTAAACTAGCTACACGTACATGTATGAAAATGAGAATATTAGGCCCCTTACTAAAAATCAACATTTGACAGGACCTGAAATGTTGTACTTGGCCTGCGATCCCCTCCCCCTATGCTTTGTATGACCGTGAAAATGTTGAAAACTTTGAACGGCCAGCATGGCACCTTATGCCATGGCATTGCCATTAGTGAATGGGGTCTACGTGCATGAGATACATTGAAGGTTGGTAAGTTAAAGGCATCCGTAGTTAATTCTATGGTTCTCATTTTCTGAACAACCTTTATTTTAGCTCCTACTTGGGAAAAAAATACACGGAACATGTTTTGTGTGCAGATATGGCACTTGAATTGAAACCCTGCTCAAAACCCTGCTGAGACTGGTCAGAAAAATTGTGTTTTCTAAGGAAATGAGTTGGTATTTTCCCTCCTAAATTGAACTTTTCTGAACATGTTTTTTTTTTCTGATGGCTGATTCCGGCAGGTCACTGTACGGGTCACTTTAGGGAATGGGTGCGTAAATGGACTCTTTCCCAATACACCTTTCAAACAGTTTCATTCTGCCACCAACCAGGCTGTAAGCTGTAGGTATGGTATTTCCTAGTCGGAGTAACTTGAACTCTATTAATCTTGTTTTTGAGCATTTGGACATGGTCGGGCACAATAGGTAATTTCAGGACTGTTCAGAGGATGCATTCTGAGGATTTTGACTCTGGGAACGAGTTATTTTGAGTGAAATGAATTAATGAGATGGAAGGTTCTAGGACTCTATCATCGCCCGACCATGTCCAAAGGATTTTAATAACAGGTTTTGCCCTTACATCAACATATAGTCATTAATACATTAATCTTTGCTACAATGAATGCACAAAAAGTTTACTCGAGCCTATCCTAGAGGAAGAAAGATATGCCCTCTAACGTGACGTCATACGCAGGGGGTCTATATTGGGTGCTTATCTGAGTGGTGAGAGCTTACACAAAAATTCCCAAGTTTACTCCTTTAAGGGCAAATAGTTCTGTTATTGAAATTAACATGTCCCAGACACAAAGTACATATTCATGTCCGATGTTAAGAAAGGTGATTGGTAGAGTCCAAGTTACTCGTACTAGGTGTTTCCTACCAAGAAAACAACATGAAAAAAATCTTGAGAATTTTTGGAGACATGCTTGTAATATTTTACCTGCCTTTTCCTCACTGACCGACAGACCAACAGAATATATGCACTGCCCATGTTTCCTCCAAGTCCTTTGAAGGTTTTTCGGGAGGTTAGGGAAGCTGTTACGCCACCTACATATACCCCACAAATGTGGGGTTCTTCATCCCTCACTCTCGTGGGACGGCGGCGGACGACAAACTCCACAGTTCTGGGTGTAAACTTCACCTTGTCTCCCTCCACTCAAGATAATTCTGGATTTACTTTGACTGTACATGTAGCTCACTCTGTAATGTTTACAATGTTACCTACAGAAATCATACCAGGTCCCTGTGCAGATGATATTCAACATTAGCTATTATTTTAGAGAATCCTTTGTTCATTCATGGTAAGAGAAGTTAATTTATATAGAATGTGGTTTGGCCGAGTGTGTTTTTGTTTAAATTACAGGCACACCCATCAGTAAGAATGAAAGGCTCTGAGGCAGACTGGGCTCCTGTCCAGTGCACAGACTCTGAGTGTACCCAATCCACCAGAGGTCCACACTTGCATTGTCCATTCTGCCCCCAGGAGAGTCTCTTCACCGATCAGGTCCTTCTCAAAGCTCACTACAGGGTCAAGCATGTGGATAAAGGAATAGATTTTGGGGGTGAGTTTGGAAGGCAAGACAAATTTATCATTAATTGTTACCATTTGCAGCATAAGAACAGATTACTCCACACTTCTTAGTTCACCTCGTGTGACAAGTTTAGGCTGGAAAATTAGCTGTTTATTCAGAGTCTCCAAAACTGTGAAATGTTCAATGTAAATAATACGGGGGCATGAATGTGGCAGAGGGCATTTCCATGGGAAAGTGGACAATGACATTTGGTCATGTTACTGCTGACCTCAATATCTTAAACAGGCCTTAAATAAGACATCTTTTTGTGTGTGAATTACAATTAATAATGAACTGCCCTTCAGAAGCAATTCAGTCCTGCAGAAATGAAGAGAAAATACCCAATCTTTACTTATCCACATTGTAATTACTCCACCATTGAGTTATTAGCAAATCTGTCCAAAATATGAAACATATGGTTAACATAGTTACATTTAATGAAGGTTCTTTAATTTTGCCACTATTGTATTTCTTCTATGTGGTAATGCCTGCTCTGTTAAAACTCTTTAGATCATAGAATGTAAGAGTTCTCGATGTAACTTTTTTTTCCTTTTAATTCCATTCTTTACTGTCTCTCTCCCAGGTCTCAAAATTCTACGTTGCTGTCGTCCCTGCATTGTCCATGGCATCATCCATGAGCAGAAGTGTTTTAAGGGTGCCCACTGGCACTGTTATCACTGCCGAAACGGGTTCAGCAGGAGGGACGAGGCCACCAAACACTACCAGCAGCACTTCCGCCACCCAGAGACCACAATACAGATAGTCATTACTCGGGTACCGTGAGTCTGGCCCCCTGACCTAATCCCCAACTTGTCTTAAGTCAGGTAGCCCTGTCAGAAATGATGTATCTTGTCACGTAGTGTTGCCCAGAAGTCTGTTTTAAGATTCTGTTGTTGGTTTTAAAAAGTCAGCATCCTCAAAGGTTTGTCAGGAGTGACAATGAATATTCAAAAAGAAATTGCATGGAGGTAAATCAAAGGAAAAAAAGATTTATACATTGAAGACATTTAGGATCATACATGTAAATTGCATTGACCAAAAATCAAAGTGAGTTGCCGAAATTTATTGAATGAACTTAATCCTATGCTAATTGGGATATGTACCTATTCTTTTGAATTTTGTATGATTTCATTTTGTTTTTGTATTATGTGTATACATGATCTATTGTGCAATAGCATCCATGTGAGTTCAAGTTTTAGTCTTTTTTTGTCACCAACACTATCCTACCAATTTTTTCCCCAGGATGTCAACCAGATCTTCACTACCTATTCAAACACAGAGCCCACCAGTACTAGTCTTGTGACGCACCTCATAGTGCCCCAGTCAAACCAGGCAGTTGAGGCGGACACGTCCGCTGACCCTGAGCAGACCGACGGGCAACAGGTTCAGTACCAATACACTTGTGTCGATGACAGTGACCAAAGCACCACTGATCGCGAAGGTAAGATGGACCAAACAGGGTCAGGCTGTGAAACTTTGCAACTAAAATGTCCTTGCCAACCTGGGAAGTATGCTAATGGTAGTGGCGATGCTGTGCTAACGGTATTCTGGACGTTAAGTAGGGCCCTGGACCCTTTCCTGAACCCGTTTTGTTCTCTGCCAACAGTTGTGCTCATCGAGATACCAGCAGATGGTAACAAAGGGGACCTGGAGGCAGGGCCTTGCTGCACGGAGCACGACTTGTCTCTGCTGCTACAGGAGAAGGAGCAACTTGAGAAGACTCTCCAGGAAGAGAGGGCTAAGTGGGCCGAGAAGGAGCACCGGATGAAAGGCACCATTGACAGACTTCGCGCAAAGGTGAGCAGATACCGGCATTGTGGCACTCGCACTCACCTACTTTCCTTATTTGCACATAATTTTGTTTTCTATTTAATTGTTGACAGTATCTTATAGTCATGTCGGTCACAAGTCAATCACAAGTCATCCGTTTGTGAGTTCCTTTTCAAATGAGCTGTGAGGCAGACATTCCTTCATCACACAATGTTTCTGACGAGAATCGAGACTTACCTTGTAATGAATTTTCCAATGGCTAAACTACAGTTCTTCGTTGCTTGACACATTTCCACTTCTCTAAAGTGTTAGATCCTGTTTAATGGCTAGATGGTTTGGGGGAGGGGTTGACCGATTCTGTGTCTCTGTGACTCCAACTGTAATTGAGTCTTCTATCTCTCTTCTTTGAGCTTTAGGTTGAGTACTTGTCCAACACAAACACCTCGCTCAAACAGCAGCTGTCGATGATGCACACGTCCAGTCTGAAGCGACTGACCCACAATGATGACCACCAGTCCATCTTGGAGGAGTTGGTGCAGCACATGTCAGAGGAACACAACCAGCTGCTACATCACCACCTGGCACAGCTGCGGCTCTTTGCCGAAGCCTGCAACCTGTCCAAAGTGGGCCGGGAGGAGCCGTCCGCATCCAAGCCAGACTCGGTCCTGGTGTCAGGCCTGGCGGACCAGTCGCAAAACATCTCACAGATGACAATAATGCCATCCTCTGAGGATGCCTTGGGAACAATGGAGCAGACAGTTGTCATGACGATAACGGCTGAGGAGAACTCTGAAGCACTTACAAGTGTCGTGGGCAGTCAAGAGAATTCTGTGGAGCCCGACACCTTGTCATTTGACAAGGATGTCCAAATGTCACCAAATGACATTCCATACCAACTGACGGGCAAGGGGCTGTCACCAAAGAGCAGTACCTCTGAATCAGGACATTTATACCAGTCAAATGTCGCCCATTCCCCTCACCGTGGGAGCTGTGGCATGACACAGCCCCACTTCCCCAAGGACAAAAGTCTGAAACTTATGCTGTCAGAAGGTTCGCCAAAAATATTCTGTGCAGACAGCTTTGATAAGAGGACATTTGAAGATGACATTTCTAATGAGGGACCTCCGTTAAAGCGACAGATGACCAGTGCCCTCAAAGCCAGTTGACCCAATGACCAGAATCATAGGAAGATGTAGAATTATCACCCGAGTTGTTACCAGGGAGTCTTTTTCACTTTTTTTATTTCACAGCATTCATGTATATCAGCATTGTTTTTCCAGAACTTCTTGGTAGCTTTGGCAAAAATCTTTCAGTGTTGTGCTGTTGAAGAGTTCTTCTTTTACCCCTCCGTGCAAGGATGCAACCAAGTTATCATATTAGTCAAAATCAAATGACCCCCAAGTGTCTGTGCACCTAGGTAAATCAAGTGGAAGGAATTTTGACTGACTTTTACAGGAAAACGTTTGTGTATGAGATTCTGCTCAATTGGAAGGATGAATAAATGATTGATAAACATAAATGTGTGTAAGACAAATGAAAGTCCAATGAGACTGATTTATTGTATGCATGTGAAGAGCCTTGTTCTTTGCAGGTTTCTGAAGATTTAAATAGAGGCTTGAATCAGCCAGTTCGGCCTAAAATTGAACCTAAATTACTGATTGCACAAACTTTATTCCCAGCAATATCATTCAACCTCCAAATTAAGTCATCGTTTGAGTGACAAGACCGACGGCAGATTATCCACTTAAATATGGCACAAAAGACACCAGATTTGTGAGACAATTATTTAATAAAATTTGTCGAGTGCTGTCATAAAAATCTACCTGAATGACATTTCAGTTAAATCTTGATTTGAAATTCAACAACTATATCAAATTGCAAGATGAAATAATGCAATGTCATACGTTCCAAAATTTACAAAAATACCTCCCCATCAACATTTATAAAAGAAATTTGAATGGCTCAATTATTTCAGTTTTGTTTTTCTGTTTGTTATAAATACAGAAAATTCAGATTTCAAGTGGATTTCAGCACACAGGATTCAATACAAAGATGTGGCGCAAAGACTTGAAAGGCACACAATCATACCAAACTAAGAAGGATGTGTTATCAGTTGCATAGGTACACACATATGTGCCGACTTTGTGAATGAATTTCAGTGCTTCGTGTAACACTAGTCTGATCATTGAATTTCTAGTTGATACTGGTTCAAGGTAACTGGCACAAATTTCGACACCATGTAGTCGTTGAGTTTAGCCTGCCACTTTGGTTCCTGGTGCATGTTGAGAAGGTGTCCAGTTATGGATTTCTTGAGATCCTCTGAGAAGAAATGACATAAAAAAAGTGAAAAATGAGAAATTCAAAATTAAGTTGACCACTGCAGTGTTCGCACTTATGCTTCCTACTTTTGCAAACCTCAGCAATCTAACCCCAAACTCTACATAAAAGAGTCACCTAGGCATGTAATGAATGCATGGCATGCTGACTGGAAAATGATGTGAATGTATGTGACATGATGACAGAGGCACATTACAGTCCCCCACCTCTGTCCGCCAACGCAATGCAAGGAAACCCATGACATCATCCCGTTCCAAGCCAATAGAGGGTTTGCAAGGCTGCCATCTTGCAGGCCAGTGTTTTTGTTCCACAGAGTATGCACTAAAAAGATTCCCTGTGGAACAAAAGAACTGCCCTGCATAATCGTTCAAAGCCTCTATATGCCATGTCAATATTTCAACTGCCATACACACCACAAGACTGGACGATTTCAACCAAACCATGAGCAGCATCATGCATGCTACCATTGAGGTAAGGAATGTTGACAGTTTACATTACATACAGACTTTTAGAAACGGTGCAATGCACCAGGTTGTGCAGTATTTTTATACTCCAACATCAGGGAAACTACCCATGTACAAAAATCATAGTTGACGAATGTGATTAGTGAAGAATGCACGTTAGCTCAAGGTTAAGTGTTTACCTCAAGGTTTTCCGTTTACCTCAAGGTTTCAAAGGTTTGACAGGGTTCTGTGGGATACCTCAGGATAAAACTTCGACTTACCAAGTGTTTTATTTTGCATTATTCCTCCCTTTCCATAGTTGCAAATTTTTGTGTACATGTCCTAGGTTCAAACTCACAAATCTTGATAAGTGCATGTCTAACTGGGACCCCCAAACTGGCCAACTGCACTGACCAGGTAACTCCGAGTTGACGACCCCAGGATAAACTGGCAGTGGTCCCCATGAGGTGACAACATGTAGCTTGTCCTTCAGCTTGGGATGGGCTTTCATTTGAAAGGCTAGGACATTGGAGTCAATTCCTGTACCATCAATTGTCTTGTCAAGGATCATCTCAATAGACTTGAGATGCGAACCTGAATGAGATGGAAGAAAAAAAAAAGAAGATCTGAATGGCCAGATATAAAATCAGGAGCAGAATC